CAAAATATATCGGTTAAATATGTGAATTTTGAGGTCAATTGATGACGATTCAATAATAATACCAACCACTAGAACTCCAGATATTAGGCATAAGAATAGCTGGCAACATATCGCGGTACATTTGTGGCAAATCGTGTTCCGTATGACATTCAAGTAATTGGGATAGTATTTGAAAGACGTACGGAATAAATTCTACAAGATAAATTTGTAGTTCATTAACGATCGTGAGAAAGAATAAGAGAATTAACTTATCAGCTCATACATGTACCGGTAACTTCCTGACGAAGAATTTGGTCAAATGGGGGGAACAAAATGTTCTCAAATTGTGTCACTAAAGCGAGATTATTCTGACAACAAAATCTTTAGAAAGATAGAAATCAGATCTTCTATTTAGAATCCAGCTAATGTTACGTGAAACAATTACGAGTCCCATACTTTGAAATTTTCACACCTCACCAATCCACCGATCGATTCAAATACGTAATGATTAAACCGGGGATTACTCGGATTCTTACTGATTTGGTTCAATATTCTACTCAAATGATCGATCACTTCTGGTGCAAGATTTGAAATTCGTTCGCGAGAAACGAAAATCACTCGCATTATCGCTATTCGGCCGTAGTTTTTTATATGCATTAGATAAATGTCAGAATCTTTATCAGATCAAAAGAAATTATTTTACCTTTCATTAAATAATCGTTTTCGGCCAAAGTTTCAGGTGTTGTTCCAGCTTCAATTAATCTAAATAAGCTCACCAAGATAGTCTGCACATATTCTTCAATATCGACGGGAGTAAATCTGTAATAAAAGCGTTTCAATAATTCTCATATAAATAAAATAAACGAATATAAAACGAAATACTCACAAAATAACATTTTCTTTTCTCATACACAATATGCGTTCAATTGCTATGGCTGCATATGTATAAACGACGTAATTGGTAGATGAAAGGTGCTTTATCAGAGCTGGCAATACAGAAACTAGTTGTTCCTTGGACATCTGCCAAATGAAACGTATTATTACTTTAATAAAGAGAGATATCCATCGATTTAAAATGCTAATTCACCTGATTCCTAAAGGTATAAAGATATTTGATTGCATCAACTTTCAATATAGCAGGTTCCGAATCAACAGGAGTCTGGAAGTCTGGTAAAACATTTTTGGAGAACCAATCGACAACATCTAACAGCATGTTAACTTGGGTCACTCCATGCTTTTTACAGACGAAATGTATAATATTAAATCAAGTTGAGTGTTCACATGAGTTATCAAAAATAACAAACAACAAAAAAATATTATACTTTTGTGGCAGCTCCTTGGGCGGCTATCGACGTCAAAAGATAGATCGCCGTGTCTTTGTCTCTCCATAGAGAAGGATTTTCTTTATATCGCTGAAAAATAACAAAAATATCAGATATTTTTTATCAAATTTATACAAGAATTTATTAAAAAATCAATTCTGACCTGGAGGTAAGCACCGATATAATTATTGATAATTTGAGTAATTGGTTGCAGATAGAGAATCATTAATCCGCGCACAAAATCAGTCGCAGCTCTTCGGCGCGTATCACTGTCTGGGAAGAAATCATAATTTTGCAAAAGATCCAATACAATTAGATATCACACAATTATTCTAATGCTCATTTATATTGTTTCTACTCACCTGACCCTTCGAGATCTCTTCTGATATACTCGATTGGATCCTCGGAGAACAATTCTTCGTCTGATTCTTTGTAATAAATAAATAGAATATTCGGGATTTCAATTGTTGCTTAAACAGTCATAGCTCTCATATATATATGTGTGTGTGTTAAATATAGATACCTCTCAAAGACATATTGGGAAGAATAATCCTTTCACAGAACTGTTGTAGAGTTTCTTCGCTTTGAAAGAGCGGTCGATATCTTTCTAGTCTTACTACTGTAGTTAGAAATCCCATGGCTTTACTAACAAGCTAAGAAAATACGTATTAAACTTTATCCTAATTTAAACATAAACAATTGAGACTAATGAAATCTCACAATATCATATTTCTGCTGCAAGCTAGTGGAGGTCAATAATGTCCATATTGTCTGAACGAATTTCGGTAACATTGTGAATGTGTCTTCATATTTTCCGGTATAAAGTGACACAATCTCACATATTGATGATCTTATTTTCTCTAATGGACCAATTTCATCTTCATCCTAAGAACATATAGAATAATTCAGTCATTGGAATTACCAAAAAAAAAAAGAGAATAATATTTCACTAACTTGCGATTCCAATAGAGGATTTGAATAAGTTAAATAATTATGAAACACGTCCATAAATTCATTGATATTATCTTCAAAAAATGGCGGCAGGTCTTGGCAATTGAGATCATAAAAAATTTTTGATAAGAGAAGAAACGTTTGCGCCAGAACACGAAGAATCGAAACATCATTAGCATGTTGTGTAATTAATAGATCTGTGGCCTATGTGTTTATTTTTTTATTATTATTAATATTCGAGAAATGGTAAAAAGCTTAAAAACAAGTGATTGAAAAAAAATTTACCTTAAATAGTTGAAAATACGGTTCACAGATTTGATCTAATACACTATTAATTTGCGTGTACAACTCGTCGGAACGAAATTCATAACGATATCTATAGAAGACAAAGTCAAAAATTGGAATTATTAAATAAAAGAGTTGGTATTTTGATAACTCTACCTTTTGAATATCGAATGAAGTGTTTCCAAGACAGCATTGTTTTGTGCGAAATTTTCAGCATTAAATTTACTAATTAATTGCTAAAGACAGACAAGCCAACTTAGTAATTAAAAAAAAAAAAGCAAAAAAACGATCAATTCTCTTACCTGCATTAAATTTTTCCATTGGTGTGGAAAATCATTTTCAGCTATTATGGTTACAGAATCGATCAATGGTAATTGGAGGTAATTTGGAATGCCAATTAATACATCAATAATATTTGCTTTTATCCATTCTCTGTTTTCGTCAGAGAGTCTATTAGAATCCTCGTCTTCCTGTGTTTTTTTTCATCAGAGGGGTAAGTAAACTGAATAGTTAACAAAAGAGACAACCTACGATACAACGAATGAACGCACATACCGGTACCCAGTTTCGTTTAATGTAATTTTTAAAATATAAAGCCGAGGCGTGGCGAACTACTTGATCGGCACCCTCAGCCGCTACAAGTCTTAGAATGGCAACAACAAAATTTGGTTGTTCATTTTGAGCTGCTGCCAAACTTGCCTCAGCTATTAGACAGGAATGTAAAAAAGAGTGTGATCATTTATCCAAGAGGAAGTAGTAAAGTTCGACAAAATTAAGTGTATGCCTGCCTGTTTTCCTGTTATTAGGATCGATGGTTTGCTTTAATAAAGTGGCTAAATTAGCCAGGTATTGTTCGTCAACTTGTGGTATAGACATTGTAAAGATATTTTAAGAAAGCAAAAAATAATGATGATTGATACTTTCGCGTTTTGATCAATTTTTTAAAAAGTTTGCGTAACTTATCATTAAACAATGCGTGCACGTGAATAAATGAAAATAATTTTAGCCTTTATTGGAAAGAATAAATAATCTATAGATAAGTCAGTACTTTTTTGAACAGAAACAAAAATGTTTTAATAAAGATTCTCCTTTAGCAACTTTATTATCGCCATCCTCAACCTCATCACGAATTCGTCCTCTACATATTCCCTCCCATTCATCTTTATAACTAGTAATTTGGGTCACATCAACCTTATTTTTACGTCCATTCATTATGTCATCATAAGCAGCAGTAAACTTCACCTTTGCCAAAAAAGTTTTTATATTTGCCACCATCGAATAGACTTGTGATTCTTTTTTGCTCGCAGGTAAATAATAACCCGAATAGAAGGCCACATCACCATATTCGAATTCTTTCGTCGTTGATGAATTTGCTATCGTTGGATGAAAATCGAATTTTTGACAAACTTTGCCAACTTGCAATGTATCTATATGCATATTCATTGTATCCACCGCCAGTTCAAGGAATCTTTGTATGATGATCGCATCATCCGTTAAATTATTATTCAATTGAGTGAATTTTACACAAGGACAAAATTCGGGTGGAATGCCAATACTTTGGCATGTTCTTGTCGCGTTTATTGGTAATAAGAGTATGTCGCCGTATTTCTGCGCGTTAGTTTTTTCGTCTGCGCCGCCCGGGAAAAAATTGGAGGCTTCCTTTAATGCAGCAGCAGTTGAGAGGGGATTCATATTTTCCGATTGACCGAATGCCAGATAAAGTAGGGTCATATGAAGATCCATGTGAGTGGTAAGTTTATCTTTGTTGATGAGAAATCCGGGGCGATGAAGATCGGCAATGGTTTTCGGGAGGATCATGTGTAATGGTGGTTGTTTATGATGAAAGTATCCTTCATATGAAGCAAACTCAGATCCATAATGTATTCCATGATCAGATAAAATAACAACAACACTATGTATGAATTAAAGAAAAAACGGCGATTAATATATCATTAAGATAGGTTCACATAGTGATTGATCAATCACTCAATACCTGTTTGGATGAAGTAACGGTTTCTCTCCTGATTCACCACCGATCAGTAGGTCTGTTAATAATTTGACCATAGAATCATCAAGACTTTTAATTTTCTTTTCAGGTGAATGAGTGTCCATCAATGTCACTGTTGCAAATCTTTTATAATACTCCTCGTTCTCATCCAATCCTTTATAGACATCCAAAAATTGTCTTAAATAATCGAATTGAACCTCATAACCAGCTTTTTGACCCATGCAAAATCGAGAATTTACGATCATTCCCGCAATTGTATTGGACTCGTATTGAGAGTCCATGTCATGTTGTAATCTACACGTTCTCCCGAATTCTTTATCTTTAGATAATTTGTAAACATCACATATTGACACATGAGGGAATTGATGTTGTGCCGGTAAATGGCCTCGAACTTTTTGGTAATAATAAGTTATTGCTCCGTCCGCATATCCGGTGAATGGCCATTCCCACCAATCACCACATTCACCGTCAGAATGCATAGTAACGAATCCTTGATCTTCAAATAACTCCCATAGCCAAGTTGCTTTGGCGCTTCCTTTGTTCCAATTCAAGTAATCTCTTGATTGTCCCGAGTATAGGAAAGCTTTATTCGGGGGTGAATTCAATCCCAATACATTATATCGATTAAATGAAAATGTTTCATGCGTGTTATTAGTGTATTGCTGCATATTCTTTAGAAAATTGACAGTCTTTGGAAATTCCTCATTGAAATGTTCTCTGGACACTGCATCAAGCAAAAGGAACACGACATCATCCGCTAATGGACTTTGATTATGTAAGATACTGTGATCTGGTAAAGGTGAATTCGGTTCAATGCTTTGTTGCTCTTTGAGGATAGGTTCACGCGTCAAAAAATTTGATTCGCTTCCACATTTGATCAACACATATTCCTCCTCAAATTTCAATAGTCCATCGATGCTTTGATCCCACAATTTAAATTTTGAACTAAAAATAGAATGCATACTTGGAAAATGATATTCAAAAGGAATTTTACAATCGACATTGATCAGCTGACCACCAGTTAATGGATCATACTGTATCGAAATAAAAGTCCTACCGGGGATAATATCAATTACGGTGTGGTCTTGCGTTATATTTTTCCACGATGGAAGGTCACACGTGCCATCGCCATCAAATACTTTTGAGTATTCTATTTCCGAAGAACTAAATATATTGTAAGCCAAAATAAGTATCGTGACAAGCGATACGACAAATAATAATATTATTCGTTTAGGAGTTTTCGCTAGTTTTAGACCACAGATCGATATAAGTGAAGGTGGGGTTTTAGTGGAAAGAGGATAATAGTTCCAAGCTGGACGATTCAACCACTTCCAACCTCGGTTCAATAGACCGGCTAGTATCTTCATGTTTTAATAAAAAGTTAACGAATTTTCTCTATTTTTAAATTATTTCGAGGAAAAAAAATCTGCACTCGGGTAACACACCTCTTTATCCGGTTTCCCCATTAGTATTAATAATGATCCTAATCCGAAGATTTTTTCCTTTTTTTTTATGTTTTTAAACGTCTAAATATGGTCTAAAGCATTCTTTTTGTTTCTAGAACTAAAAACCGGGCGTTTGTGGAATAAAATCCGCCCGTATCAATGTGTTTTGAATGGTGTGAAAAAAAATCGGGCTAAGCTAATGGTTGTGTAAATATTCCGTTACAATTTTCCGTTACAATTAATGTGCTTATATATACACAGAGATCCAAATATTTGTTAACGTTATCCGGTCGAAAATTAGGAACCAAAATTGCCGATTGATCGCCATCTGTATGTCATATATTTTTATGCAGAAAATACAATTTATAAATTGTTGTTTGCCAAAAATAAGTAACAATAAAAATACACGCTTGATCAATTTATTGAAAAAGAAAGAAAATTCCAAGTACAGTACTCCGTAAAATAAGGAATTCAAAAAATTCCAAACTGCTAATACATGTTATACGGTATATTAATGTAACTTGATAATTCATTTTAGAATCCAAAACTCAAAGTTATGTCGTAACATATTATGAAAAAAAATTACTATTT